ATTGCTTTGATTCAGGCGAAACACGCCTCAGCTGAGCAAGTGTTTTTGTTTCGGGAAATGCCGCCACTTAGCACGAACATCTGAGCGAAACACGTTTTGCTCCACGTTCAGGGTGTTTTGCTCGGGTGTGTGCGCTAGGCTTTAGACGAGCATGATTTGTGTACAGATCTGCGAATTCGCTCGACTCTCGTGAATAACATAGATAACCAATTCACACACAGTTGAAAAACTGGTTGTTAATTGTTGTTGTTGTCGTTGTTGTTATTGGTGTTGTTGTTGTTGTTGTTGTTGTTGGTGCTGTTGTTGTTGTTGTTGTTGTTGTTGGTGCTGTTGTCGTTGTTATTGTTGTTGTTGTTGTTGTTGTTGTTGTTGTTGTTATTGGTGGTGCTGTTGTTATTATTGTTGTTGTTGTTGGTGGTTGTGTTGTTGTTGGTGTTGTTGTTGTTATTGGTGGTGGTGGTGTTGTTGTCGTTGTTTTTGTTGTTGTTGTTGTTGTTGTTGTTGGTGGTGGTGGTGTTGTTGTTGTTGTTGTTGTTGTTGATGGTGGTGGTGTTGTTGTTGTCGTTGTTTTTGTTGTTGTTGGTGGTGGTGGTGAGGGGAGGGGGTGTTTGACAGCGTCTATCATGGAAATAACACCCCACGCCAACGTATGATAGGATCTGACCTAAAAAAATGTTTTCGTCGAATTTTATTTTATTTATTGCGAACTGTTATTTCTGACATGACTCGTTTTTGGAACACATTATTCCCATTTCTCCCCTTTTTCTCTCACTACCTCTTTTCCTTCTTCGCCTTGTCCCTCCCTCCCTCTCCTACTTCTCCTCCTCCCCTTCCTAATGTTCCTCTGCGTCTTCCTTTTAACCGACCCTCTTTTCCATACTCTCTCAACATTAATTCACTGTCTTCGCTATACCTGCTCTGTCTCTCCTTTACCGCTATATCTTTGTTTGCCAACATGCACTAGTATAGCTTATAACAATGCTCGAATGAAATGTAGTTATAATTTGTACACTTCACACGTTGACTTCGTCAGGCGTTTCTGATCACGACAGCTGATGTTGGTTTCGTGCAAAAGGCAGAGAAATTGAGAATTGACAAGTCCGTCTCGCCGAACGCGGCAAGATCACTGTGATTAAGCAGCTGTTTTATTCAGATTCGTTGAGAAGAACAGACAAAGATGAATTGTTGAATTATTGAGGATATAATAAAAGTTTCCGCGTATGACACCATGAAAACAAACCTGGAGAGTTTCCTCCGACGTCGTGTGCCAAAAATAGCTCGCGCAGTATCTCATGTAGGAAGCCATATATGTCATCGCAACTCTTTCTATCAATATCTCACATACACACGCACGCACGCACACACACACGCACGCACGCACGCACGCACGCACGCACGCACGCACGCGCACGCACGCACGCACGCACGCACGCACGCACGTACAGACACACGTACACACACGCGA